CATTATAAATTTGTTTCTATTATAATCAGAGAAGAAAAAAAATGATTAACAAGAAAAGTGAGTGTGTTGCTAAAAAGAAGAAAATTACATCTTTAGTTGTGCCAAAGTTTGTTTTTTTTTGTTTTTTTTTGTTTTTTTTTTTTTTAGTTAGCACAGAAAAGGAGGAGGCTTAATGGATCAGAGGCACTACCTTCTTTAACTATTCTTGTCATAGTTCATATTGCCTCTGGAACCATGTGTAATTATGAATTATTTACAGTGCTTTTACATTCAAATCTCTAACAGTGATTTTTTTCTTTTTTTGGGAGAGGTTTTCGCTATAGGGCGCGTGTGCTCGCCAGACAGACAAAGAGAGATATAGAGACAGAAAGCGAGAAATCACCCCCAGGGGGGATGGTCACGCCGCAATCCCTTCTCCTCCATTCTCCTCTCGGGATCTTAGGCACGCACGCACACGCGCCCAGCGTGAGTTTTAAGCCACCAGGTCCGGGACGTGAACCGTGGTCGACTATGTGGGAATCCAGCGACATAGCCATTACGCTAACTGCTGGTTCCCAACAGTGATTATTTTTTGTAAATAAACATTTTAAACTAAAGTAATCTAGAATTTGACTTTCCCTAAATATTATTTGCCATAGAAATATTAGTATTTAAAACTATGTAATATTACTTTTTAAAATATGTAATGTCTGTGCTTTTTTTTTTTAAGAGAGAGATTTTTACTATAGGGTATGTGCACTCACAGGAGAGACAGAGACAGACAGAAAGGTAGAAATTGAGAATTAATCCCCCAAGAGGGATTGACATGTCGCAGTCCCTTCTCCTCTCTTCTCCTTTTGGCATTCTGGGCATGTTCGCATATGCACCCTACATGAGTTTTAAATTGCCAGGTGTGGGACTTGAACTGTGGTTGACTACATGGGAGTCCAGTGATGTAACCATTATGCCATCTGCTGACCCCAGTGTCTATACTTTGAAAATGAACAATCAGGGGCCGGCAGGTGGCATAGTAGTTAAGGTACTGTATCCCATGTGGCCGAGTGTATTCTTTCAAGTCCTGGATCCAGTGGCTTGAAAAACACCCAGGGCAAATGTCTATGTGCCCAAAGTCTCAGGAGGAGGATAGAGGAGAAGGAATTTCAGTGTGACTATCCTCTCATGGAGGCGATTTCTCGCTTTACCTCTTTCTTCGTCTGCCTTGGTGAGTGCATCCACTTTATGACAAAAATCTATAATAATAATTAATAATACTGGGTTGTCAGAAAAGTCATGATGCATTTTTTCATAGAAAAATATCTGACAACCCAATAATAATCATCAGATAAAGGTAGCTTTAGTAATTGATAGTATTTGATTTCTCTATAGTTTTATAGTAAAATTTAGTATTTAACTTTTCTTTATATGAAATGTAGAGCCTGTCTATAATCATGAATACTTATCAAGGGCAATTTTATTTTGAATATTTATTATTATTGTACTAGAGAATATTAAACCCAATCTTGTTTTATTTTAATGTTTTTAGGTATTTCTAAAAGTCAGAATGCTTCCCTGTAAAATGGGACTTTCTAGCCTTTTCACATTAAATTTAAATATTTACTTTCAAACCTAAACCTGCTATTCATTTTAAGATTGTTATTCTAACGTGTCTTATAAATATTTCTGGTGATGAGAAATGCAGTGCTCATTCTGTATTTCACCTAAACTCCCAAAGATTTTTAGCAATAACCTGCCTGAAAGGCAGATCAGCGTAGAGAAAAGAATAGGGTTTTCTGTTTTTTAAAAGTTATGTTTATGAAATTTGAAATCTTCTAAGACATTTCCTGACTGGCAGCCCTCAGTAGAAAAAAAAGAAGATGAAATTTACCAGTACATTATTAAGGATAATGATTTAAGCCTTTTTCAATCCTAGTTTAACAATTCTGTAATTCTAGGCAATTTATACATACATTTTCTAGTACCCACTGTCTTTGATAATGATGGTACTTACTTCATAGAGATTAAGGATTTTTAATTTTTAAATTTTGCTATAGGGCACATGCACCGGCTGGAGAGAGAGAGAGAGATAGAGAGAGAGAGAGAGAGATAGAGAGATAAATAGATAGAAAGCACTTCCTGCAGGACGACCATGCTATAGTCTCTTGGGGTGTTGGGCATGCATGGCATACGTGCCCAGTGTGTTTTTCAAGCTGCTGGATCAGAGACTCAAGCTCTGCAGTCAGCCATGGGGGATTTAACCACTACACCTAGCTGGCCCAATTTAAGGTTTTTATACAGAAAAACTATGTAAAGTGCTTGGCACAAAGAATGTACTCAACAAATGTTAATTTTCTTCCATTTTCATCTTAATTTTGATTTATTTTAATTCTGAAGTAATGTGTAAATTAAGCTCTAAGTCACTTTTAAGAAAAGTGCTGACTTTATTCGAAGTATGTTTAAAATAGTGAATGTCAGCCTAAATAAATGGAAATGTTTTTAATGTTCATCATATATTTGTACTTTGTTTTGTTCTAACTTGGGTATGTATACCTCAAATAGTGTATGACAATTTTTTTGACGCTTTTACTCGTTTTCATATTAGGATTTTAAAAAGCATGCTAAACAATTTTCTGCTTACTCTAATGCATGCAGTCTTCTGAGATCGTACCTGACCTTAAATATTTCTCCAAATAGATTGTAATATAGTGTTATTAGTTCTGGTACTTTATATAGTTAAATACATCAAACTCAGCAATTTTATGTGGGTGTGGTTGCGGTTGGAAAGATTAGTCAATGACTTTTAACTTACATTAATCAAAACATAACTATATATTTTAGAAAAAATAGTCATATCACTTGAGCTCATAAAGACTTAAGTTGATTTTTAATAATTAATAAGTTTTTTCTGCCAATGAGCATTAGATTACTGCTGACTTTTAGTGTCAGAGTACCTTGTGGTAGTTTTCTCTACAGGGTTTAAAGGTATATGCAAGTTTTTTTTCTGTCCAGGCCATAGGAAATAATCCTTACAAATATTATAAGGAGAATACCTCTAGAAGTTCATAAATACCACTAATATCTTATGAGGATCGGTCAGTTCTATTGTCTTCTTTGTCAGTCTTGATCGGAGCTTGCTGAGGAAGTCTATAAGCCTGAATGTGCCTGGCAACTGTTACCTAGTGACAGTGTCAGCTGCAGTAGCCATTGGCTGTGCTGTTGATGGGGGCAGGAGGACCGAGTCACCTTTTTGATGGTGAGTTCTTCTGCATCAGCTCAGGATGATGAGGAGGAGGAGCAGGGCTCGGGCTCAGGTGGAGGCAGTGATGCTGAGAGATTGTGAAGAGTATACCGACAGCATCCTGGCAACTGCATCGCAGTAAATCGGACTTCTGAATCAAGCAGCCCAGCCCAGCAGCTGATAAGAGAGAATGTAGGTGAGAGAAGCATTACCTTATTCCTGTAACAAGAGAACTATTTTGTTAAGTGAAACTAGGAATGTACAAGAAAGAATATCCTGTGGCTATAATAAAAAAAAGAGAAGTACTTCCCTGAATGACTTGGTGGTGCACCAGAAAATAACTTTCAGAAGAATGCTTTCTATTAAGCTGCTGCATTGTTCCTGAAGGAAATGTTTTTATATCTAGTGCATGTTATTTCTTCAGAAGGTCTGACAACAAAGACTGACAGAAGATTCTTTGAAATGCCTGTACTTAAAAAAAAAAAAGACTTTTGCAAATGTTAGCCTGATAACAGAATGACCTTGGAAGCCTTTTGGATGGATTCTATCCTGGCCAGCCTTTCAGTATTTCAAAGTCTAGGATTTAAACTCATCTTAATGCTTTAGAGGTATTTTAAAACAAGACTATCTTGCAACCTACCTAATGGCCACTATATTCATTGAGCATTTGTTCAAAATAGAATACAGAAATAGAAGAGGCATTTTCTTAACATATGGCTGCTATATAACTGCAAATATAATAAACAAGGTAATTTTCCACTTTCAGAAGATTCAGTTGAAGTAGTAATTTAATGTGTTAATCATCTAATGAAAATAGAAGTATAGCAAAGTAGAATATGAAGCCTACTAGAAATACTTGAGTAATGAATAATTGCAGCATTTCTGGTCATGTAAGTTTAGTTGTAGGGAAGTTTCTAGTATTGTCTAAATTTATGTTATTTACATATGTAACTGACATGCGGTTATTGTTGCAAAGGTGAGGAATAACTTTGAGGTATATATTTTACTATCATGCTCCGTATTAAGAAAGGTGGCATATCAAATAATGAAAGTTATTTTCAGAGATAGATGCTGAAATTAATAGCAAAAAGAATTTCTTTTCATTTTGGAAGGGAAGACGTATAAATTACATTGCTGGTTGTAGCACCGGTAACTAAATTTAAAAGACTAAAACTGTTTTAATCTAATACTTTAAAAATGCATGCAGAATTAAAACTTTAGAAGTTTATTATAGTTTGTCAGATATTAACCCACCGTATATCATCTTCCCTGCTGGAAATAGCTTTTTTTTTTTTGTTCCTCGTAAGCATTATAGGGCAATCTGGAGTCTCTTTGCTATCTCTTTTCTGCTCCTTTGTGCCCATGCAGAAATGAGTCCTTTGGAATTAACCATGATTTTCTTAGTTTTTTAAAACATGAAAGAAAAATGGATCAGAAAGCTAACTCACCAGCATCAAACCCTTGAACCGAGCCCAGAGACACACTTTGCCACAATGAACTTTTGATTAGCTTTTCAACCAAATCTGAGTTTTTAATCACTTAAATTCTAAAATACGATTGCATTTTTCATCGTAATTAAGGCAGGAAGCCTGAGACAATTTAAGACTTTTTTCTTTTCTCATTTCTTCTAGTTGATCCCTAAGAAACTACCTGTCTCAGGAGAACCAACAGCTCAGAGAAGCATTTTTTCTTTGGCAATTGATTTTTTTTTTTTTTTACTTTTACAGATTTCATTTTCACAGTGCAAAGTAATAAATCCATTTTCTCTAGAAGTGCCTTGTGTCTGCAAAAAAGTTTTTTGAGAGCACTGGAGGAAGCTAATGAGTGACCTCTTTTCACCTCCTTTCTAGCTTTCCTCCTCTTCCCCCACCCCCCTCAAAGCTGAGGTGTGTCACTGCTGAACTGAGCCTGATGAAGAGACTTGAGCACCCTCTGGGATGCTCAGCTGTGACAGAAGCACTGTCTATCGACGCAGGTTCTGAGACACTCGTGTGCAGAGTTTAGCAGATGCTGGGCAGGACACTTGCCTGCTGTAGCCAAGACTGCAGGTTCCTTTAACTCCAAGCCATGAATGAATCCAGGTGGACTGGATGGAGGATCGTGAACATGAGCAGTGGCGTTGTGAATGTGTCCGAGCGTCACTCCTGCCCACTTGGATTTGGCCACTACAGTGCGGTGGATGTCTGCATCTTTGAGACTGTCGTTATTGTATTGCTGACATTTCTAATCATCGCTGGGAATTTGACAGTCATCTTTGTCTTTCACTGTGCTCCGCTCTTACACCATTATACTACCAGCTATTTCATTCAGACAATGGCATATGCTGATCTTTTCGTTGGAGTTAGCTGCTTGGTTCCTACTCTCTCACTTCTCCACTACTCCACAGGTGTCCACGAGTCATTGACTTGCCAAGTTTTTGGATATATCATCTCAGTTCTAAAAAGTGTTTCTATGGCGTGTCTTGCTTGCATCAGCGTGGATCGCTATCTTGCAATAACCAAGCCTCTTTCCTACAATCAACTTGTCACCCCTTGTCGCCTGAGAATTTGTATTATTTTAATCTGGATCTACTCTTGCCTAATTTTCTTGCCTTCGTTTTTTGGCTGGGGGAAACCTGGTTACCATGGTGACATTTTTGAATGGTGTGCCACCTCTTGGCTTACCAGTGCCTATTTTACTGGTTTCATTGTTTGTTTACTTTATGCCCCTGCTGCCTTTGTTGTCTGCTTTACTTACTTCCACATTTTCAAAATTTGCCGGCAGCACACCAAAGAGATAAATGACCGAAGGGCCCGATTCCCTAGCCATGAGGTAGATGCTTCTAGAGAGACTGGGCACAGCCCTGACCGACGCTATGCCATGGTTTTGTTTAGGATAACTAGTGTATTTTACATGTTGTGGCTCCCGTATATCATTTACTTTCTTCTAGAAAGCTCCCGTGTCTTGGACAATCCAACACTGTCTTTCTTAACAACTTGGCTTGCCATAAGTAATAGTTTTTGTAACTGCGTAATATATAGCCTCTCCAACAGTGTTTTCCGGCTAGGCCTCCGAAGACTGTCTGAGACAATGTGCACATCTTGTATGTGTGTGAAGGATCCAGAAGCACGAGATCCCAAACCTAGGAAACGGGCTAATTCCTGCTCCATTTGAAGAGAATGACACAGTAAATCAAGTATAATCTGACAGTGGTTTTGGATCACATTCTTGACTCATCTGGAAATGGGCCACCCGAGAAATACTTACTTGAATAATTGACTTACGAATTAAAGGATAAGACTGAAGGTTCATTTTCTTTTCCTTCTTCATGGAAAAAACATTAAGGAAAGGATACATAAAGGGTACTATCATGGGATAGTTTTAGCTTGTGAGTATAAATGTGCAGTAAGAGAAAAAAAATATAAGCCCTGAGGATGAAAGAAGTATCTTAAATCTCCTCCAGGATGTGAGCAAGTCCTCGGCATTTCTGTCTGACTGTCCTCTCTGCCTCTTTGTTTCACATTTTGTCTCCTTCCATTTCTTTACACTGTGTTTGTAGAAGTACTTGCTTACATAAATTGCCCTTGATGGAAAAGTGCTACATATTATATATGTGGCAAAGTATAACCTTTTTCATCAGTATGTACTTTTAATCAATCTAACCTGCAATCTGTAAGTAGTTTCTTCATGGAAGATACACAGTAACTATTATATTTTATTACTTGCTATCCAACCCCTTTGCTTGTGTTTTTATAATCTCTGCAGCACAAATATTCTACACACAAAAAGAAACAGTATTTTTGTTTCTTTTAGTTAAAATGACATTTTGCTTCTTAACTCCTTTCTAACAGCCTGCTCTTTTTCCCCCCTCCTCTTTCTCTCTTGATCTGCATCCTTTGGTACCTTATTCCAGAAGTGTCTTAGCTAAAGAAAGAATCTACTGTATAAAGTCATAATGTTAAATAATTTATTTATTCCAACCAAGCAATCTCATAGCCTATTTGGGAGATTATGTTAAATAATTTCAATGGCTTTTGGAGACATTTTTATCTGGTTCCTTTTAAATTAGTTCACATGCCTAAAGCGATGTCTTTTTTGCTATAGTAAAGCTTTGTTTTTCTTTTGAGAAAACCCAAAGTAATTCTAATGCAGCTGCAAGATATTCACCCAACAGTGAGGTATCATTCCTTTTTACTACTTGGAATGTCCCCCCCCCTTTTTTTTTAAGTACAATGTCAACTTTTTTGTATTTGGTCTACAGTAGTTAACTTCTTGTCTTCACTAGTCATTTGTGTGATATGTGTTTGCACATACTATATTTTTTACACAGAGAAAATGTAAATTATATTATGTAACCTGTGCCTAATGTTTTCTTAGCACAATATATAGATCAGTGTTATTTAAGTTGTCAACATTGGGAAAAGTATATACAGAAACTTATTTTAAAAGAATTTGTGTACTCATTATTTAGATATTTATATTAGATGAAGCTGCATTCCTAGTGCTGCTGAGAATATTCTTAGTTATCAAATACAGGCAAGAACTGTCAGTATTTTATTTTGTAATGATCTCTTTTCAGATACAGAGATTAACTTATTTTCTAGTGTGCTACACAGGACTGTGTGACAATTTGTCGGGGTTAGAAGTAGTGGAGTAGCATTTGGGGAGTGAATAGGAAAGCAGGTATGAGCAAAAAAAATCGAAATCTTAATTTTTTTAACCATATGTTTCCTGCTTGAAAGATATTTTAACATTTATATCAAACTACTGAGTATTTTTCTTCTGAACATTAATTTTTTTTTTGTTTTATGAAATGCATTTAATGAAATGTGCCTATGACTCTTCAAATTAGAAGCCAACCTTGTTTGCACACTGATGGTTTGACTTCAGAGGTCTTTTCGTAGGAATGCTGTCATTTTATTGAGGTTGTTCTGAACCCCTGTATATTTTTAATATGTAAGAAAGGTTTAAAATAAGGAATAAATAGTATTCTATATATCGAAATCAGACTTTGCTTCAGCTTAATTAAACACTTGCTTAGAACAAGAGTTCACTTGTTTGGGAATAAAAATCTAATTGTTTTACACTCTGTAGCTTGAATTTATATTTATTCTTGTCTCATTTGCCAGTGGCATCTTGGATGAGTTAAGATTCACCTTTTAGATCAGCTCAAGGAAAACATAAAGTTAAAGGAGACAGTACTGCTAACTTTTCAGATCTCATAAATGAAACCTTCCACATTATACATATTACTTGGGAATTCAGTTTTAGTTTAGACTGTAAATATAGTTAGAAAAGACCCTGTAGATGTTTTGTAGAGAAAGCCTGAGAACACACCTACTGCATTTTCCTCTTCTGACTTTTATTCATTATAATAACAATTATGTCAGGCTCAGTATTAAGTTTTACATGCATTATAACATTTAATCCTCACCCTAACACTTAGAGATAGTACTGTTATTATGCCCGCTCTAGAAGGAAACCAAAGTAAAGTGACTGTATCTAAAGTCACACAGTCTGTGGCAGAAGTTCCTGCACCCTCTCTTGGCCTTGGGCCAAAGCCTGTTCTTCAGCGGTCTGCTCTACTGCTTTGTTTTCAAAAGCCTTCCAGCCTTTGCACCTCAGTCTCTACCTTTTCCCTGCAAACTTTGTCTGAACGGTTTGTTTGTTCCCCTTAGCCTAAATCTTTTGCTTCAGTTCTTTTCTTACCTGTAGTATCGTTTTCTTTGATCTTGTAAGATTCTTCCATTAAAACAGCAATCCACTAAGCCCCAATTTACCATTTAGTCTATAATCAAACTGAAACTTTGGGGCCTGGCATTTCCTTGATACGACTTTTGTTCTTCTATGGTGTTTTCTTTAATAGTGTTTTCAAATTTCTTAAGTTTGTTTTTGAATAAAAACTATTTTTTTATGGGGAAGAATGGAAAAGAAAGATGTTATCACAGTCTGAAAGAACCTGAATAGCAAGCTCTAGGCTTAGATTCATCATATATTGATTCATATATTGGGTACTCAGAAAAGTCATGATGCATTTTTGGATAGAAAAATATGCAATGACTTTTTCGAGGACCCAATACGAATTTACAGGAAGCCACTTAACTTTCTTTTGACGTATTCTAATATGTGTTTACATGATAATATTTATTTTGAAACTACTTCCTTTTTTTAGATTAATGTGTTATAAGAATTAGAACCATAATAATTATTCCCAACATTATATTGTATTCTGTAGCAATTATCCAGTTTGGTTATAAAAGAAAGCCTCACCCCCCAAAAACAAACAACCAACCAAACAAACAAAAAACCCCAGAGCATTCTATTACTTAAGAGTGCTATTGTTTTAGTAGTTGTTTTTAAAGTTAACCGTGTTGGAAAGCTTTATAACCTACTGTGTGAAACTTGAGCTCAAATCCTGGCCCTCATAAACTGGTCTGCAGGAAGATACTGAATGCTCCAAAATGCCATTTCCCCATTGATTTAAAAGAGGGGGGGTTATTGAGATTTATACTTCCCTAAAAACCTGGATTTGAAGATTTTGTTGTCTACATACTCTGGAACATTCAAAGTGTCAGAATATGGTAGTTGCAGTTTTATTATCTTCATGAATGCCGTATTTATTACCATTACAACTTAAACATCACTAATTCCAGTTTAAACAATTATTCCATTGAGTATTGTGGTTCTCTAAAATATTATTACTTCTCCCCATTCTGTCTGAACTCAGATTTTGCATTACACTCATATGGTTTTAGTTTAGAAAAGTTCTGTAATTTCTGGTAGCTCATTTTCAAAGAGTACTTATTCACTAAGATTTCTTTTGATATACAGCAAGCTAATGTTGAGAAGACACTGGGTTGATTCTGATATTAACCTGTCTCCTTTATTGTATTAAATATAAACTTTTTTTTTTTTTCTCATTTGAGTGGCAGTAATTGCAAAGAATTGTCCAGGGGTATATTACTATTTCTCTTTCATTTTAATTATTCTTATTTTTAAAATGGAATTGAAGGTATTTTGTCACATACAAGAGATCTTCACTAAGCTCATGTAAAATGCATATTGTGAAAAAAAATGGCATGGATTTCAAAGCTTTTCTCCACCAAAATAAATTCATACTTTTCATCTATTTTTCTACAAACTTTTCGAAGTCTCCTCATACATGTTACCATGAAGAAACAATGATTACTAAGCCAGTTTGCTCTACAGATAACAATTAATTATACAAGTTTAAAAATAAATGAAGTTGCTGCCTTAAAGGACTTTTCTCTTCTTCCCTTCCCCTTCTGCCCACCTTCTCGGAAGCTAATCACCTGATGTGGAAAATACAGTTATGTAATAAGCAGATAAAAAAAGATTTAGATCTAAGGCATCTGCTAGTGTAACATTCTGAGTATAGCATTATCTATATTCAGGTATGGCCACTGAGGTGCACAGGAGCATTTGTGAGTGAGTTGCTGCTGTTTCCTGATGTGTAGGCTCTAGCAGATGCTCTTTTCCCTGAACAAAGCTTAACTTCATTTTAGGAGTAAGAGGGATATGTAGAAAGTGGCATATTCTATAATCACATGTAAATATTGAAGAAAACCAAATGGCTAGAAAAGATAGATTCTTATTTCAATATTTCTCATAAAGGAAAATATGGTCCAGTGCTAGTTTTGTAATATAATTTAAAATATTATGAATGTTTTTATAGTAAAAGTAATCTTTTAAGATATTAAATGTGATGTAATTAGGATTTTTTCCTTTATTACTATACTGCTTAGCTTTTTTTAGAATGAGTATTTCTTTTATAATTAGAAAAAGAAAATGAATCTTTTCTTAAAAAATTAAAATTTTTGACATTTCACAAAACAGCTTATGTTGTTACTACCAGTAACACTATCCAGTGTCTCAATATTATTATTATTTTTAAAGGTTTTTGTCATAGGGTGCATGCGCTCACCAAAAAAAGTCAGAGAGAGGGAAAGTAAGAAATCACACACACTTGCCAGGGGGTGATGCTACACTGCAACCCTTTCTTCTCCAATCTTCTCTTAGGATTTTGAGCACATACACATTTGTGCCTGGTGTGATTTTCAAGCTGTGAGGTTGGATCCAGGACTTGAACTGTGATAGGTCATGCGGAAGTCAAGTAGGCACTTCAGTACCTGCTGGCCCCTTCAATACTATCTTTTTATGAAGATAGTCTATATAGTTTTCTGACTTACATAATATTTGTTATTACAGTTGATTTTTTAGGGAAATTTGATGACCTTCTGCTTGAAATATTACAAGTCCTTGACTTATTTTTGTTTCATAGTTTGAATTGTTATTTGCTGAATATGAATTGATTCTCTAAATCTGTATTTTTTTTTTTAGCGTACCATGGATTTGTGATGTTGTTGAAGTCATCATATGTTGAATTTCTCTCAAGCGTTACAATGGAAACATTTTAATATTAGTGCTTCATGTTTGTGCATAGGGCATAAAACATTATTCAGGGAATCAGAGAAATCAGTTTGAATTAGTGATATTTTAAATAAAACCTTTTATTTTACTTTATTTTTAAAAATATTTTCATTTTTCTGTATTGCTAGAGGGTTTGTGCGCTTGCCAGAGAGGAGAGAGAGAGAGAGAAATAAAGGATTCCTGCCCCCCCCCCTTGGGTGTGGTCATGTCACAGTCCCTTTACCTTCAACTTGTTTGGATTTTGGACATGCATGTACACATGCCCTGCATGTTTTCTAAAGCTGCTGGGACCTAGATTTGAACCATGATCAGCCATTTGAGATCTGGCTCCCTTTGCACAATATTTAACTGCTGCACTAATGGGGCTGGCCCTAAATAAAACCTTTAAATACATCATTTAGTTTTATTTCAGTGAAATAATATACAGAAAAATTAAATTGTTCAAATATAATATTGTCTTTTTTTTTTTTTTTTATTTTATTATCATCATAATCTTCTTTCTATTACACTAGATTACATATAACTTTACATTGACTTCCATTGCTTTTTCAAAAGGGAATGCCATGCATGTCAGTCAATACAGAGATATCAATCTCCCCGCTTTATCATTCAATATCTTTTCCATGCTTTTCCCAATAATTATTATTATAATTTTTTAAACAGTCAATCACTATTTCTCATTTTGCTTATTAAAGAGACTTCACCCATCATGAAATATTTCCCAGACCGGTTCAGTTGAGAATACTATACATGTCATCA